ACACACACACACACACACACACACACACACACACACACACACACACAAGCTAAAAAGAATCATGTGAGGAAAACTGCCAGTGAAGATAAACTCACTGATTTCCAATACAAACCTGCTTGGTTGATGCAGGTTTTCTGCCTTGTTTTGGGATAAGGACAGTTGTAGCTTATGACCTACTGATTCAAATGTTTAAAGAGTTTGACTTTCTAAGATACATTCTGCCTTTTCTCTCTGTCTTCTTCTGCCCTAAATGTGCATGTAGGTTCATAGCTATGCAGCGAGCTAAACATGCCTATTGTACAGTAAAGGTGGCGTTGTAAAAATGAAAATATATGAAAAGCATTGGATAAAACAAAACAAAAAGTCCAAAAATTGACGTAGTGTATCATAATACTAATTTAGAATAAGAAAATAAAAAATCATCATTTTCAGTCTTCAGTGACATAACTTTTTACTAATATTTTGACTTGGTCAAAATTATGACTTGGTATCTTCATATTTTGAGTTGCCCACAGTATTCTTCTATTCAGATCATTCATTATTTCTTTAAGGCTTCCCATTGAGTCTGTCTTTTCACTGGTAAAAGATATCTCTCTAAGATGGTCGGTCACAGATGTGACAAAAACATTAGAAGTAACAACCAACTAGCAACCAACCGCTGCTGGCAGAATGCTGATCACTATTATTATTGCTATTATTATTCCTCTTTTTTACAATTTTTGTATCAATTTCTTCAAATTCAACCTGCAAAACTGGATCTCCATAGTCTGCTGGGGAGTGTATAAATGATCCTCGACAATATTGTTATGTGCGCTGCATCCCCTGCTGTACTGCGCCAGCAGGGGATGCTACTAGCAACACAACATAGTCACTGTGGTTATTAAAAATTGTCAGAAGATATGTTATGATAACATCTCATAAATATAAATTGTTAGATGTCATAATTTCAAATTAGTCCAAAAAATGTTTTAAATATCTATTTTTACCATCCCATAATGTTTATTAAGAGTATGTCATCATTTCATGGGATGATCTTTGCCTCAGTGTCTAATCACTTTATCCTGGTAAGTCAAAATTTAGACATATTATAATTTTCATTGACCATAAGTATTATTTTTGAATAATTCCCTGTCTCTGTCTCTCCCTCTGTGTGTCCCTTCAGGGTAAGTCAGTGATCAGCGGCGGTTTAGACGCCTTGGAGTTCATTGGAAAGAAGACCATGATTGTTCTTGCTGAGACTGACCCGGGTTTCAGAAAGACCAAGACCCTGATGCAGAAGACGGCATCGCTGAGTCAGGCATGTGGACACACTGTCAGAGCTCACACTGACATACACACACAGGAATCCAATACGTCTCGTGCTATCAGATAAATAATGTCAATCTTGTGTGGATGGAATAATTCGGTGATTTTTCAGTGGAAATCCACATTGTGTCACTTCTCTGAAGCGACTGCTCTGCAGCGGTGTTATATGAAGGCTTCACTGTGATTTCTCAGATGTTAAGGGAAGCTAAAGAGAAAGAGCGGGCCTGTCTGGGCAACCAGCCAATCAGCGCACCCGCTGCTCACTACAGCATTCTGTTTGACGACTACCAGGGCTTGCCGCACCTTGAGGCCCTGGAGATCCTGTCCAATGAGAGCGAGGCCAAGGTGAGGCACACAAAGTGTGAGCAATATTTTCAGAAACTGCCTTTTGAGAGTCTAATACTCTACATCTGCTCCTAGGTCCAAGCCTTCCTCTCCTCCCTGGTGGAAGAGGAGCAGGATGAGGTGAAGAAGGAGCTAATTGTCATCAAGGACATCTTCATCAAGCGAGAGGAAGAGGAAAAAGTAGACGAAGGAGGACAGACGAAGGATAACGGTGATCTAAGTTCCCACTTACACTGTTCTACCCCCTTATGTGAGTGACCCCAACCAGCCGCCGGACCTGCTGGAGGTAGAGGCGGTCCCTGAGCACTGACCCAGGATCAGATGGCCTTATTCACAAACTCAGGCAGCTCTAACATCAGATCAGATGGTCAGGAAGAGAACTGATGTTTCACTTTGGTTGAATTTTTACATTCAGTCTTTGAGTTCATATCCTTTTACGTTCCATATCAGGGCTTGCATTTCATCCAACCATTTTCCAAAGCGTGTGAAGAGTTTTTGAACATTTTTTTCTACCTTCCAAGCTGCCAGTCCTTGTTCAAGCGAACTTGCTCAGCACTATCCATCACAACAAATGTTTATTTTTGCTTTAAATCCAAGTAATGTTCTAATCACATGCTACTTCAGCTGTGAGCAGAGACTTCTTGGTGCATTCATGCCGCCATGTTTCTACAGTAGCCCAGAATGGACAAACCAAACACTGGCTCTAGATAGGGCCACCGTAGTCCTCCTACACGCTTGGCACTGGGGAGAAGTTTCAGTTGGTTGCAATCTGCAACCTCACCGTTAGATGGCGCCAAATCCAACCCACTGCACCCTTTTATGGGTCGTGAAGATCAGTTTACTAGTCATGAGGAGATTGAAAGAAGCACACGTTTATCAAGAGGGGATGGTCTTAACAAATGACATTATTGAGTTGCCTTATGGGAAGTGTAGCATTCATTATTTAATTTTTTTTAGTTTGACCAATACTAAAGACTGAAAGTCTGGATATTTTGGCATCTGCTGCTTTGTTTTTGAAAATCTGTGCCTCACAAGTCCCCCAAATGCATGGTGGTACAATACTAAATTGCTGGACTACCCCTTTTAATGCAAGAAGCTGCAATTTATTAGGATGAACAGTACACAGGAACCTGGAGGCCGTAGCAAACAGCGAGACACAAGAGAACTGTAAATTGTGCTGTTTGCACACTGACTACCGCTCTTTTTATCAGCAGAAAAAAACAAACCATCCCCCAAAACTAAAGGTGGGCCTGTAAGGAACATTTTTGGGGTGGGGAGGGGGCTGAATCGCTTCACTTAGAAAAACTGCATTGTCCTCCCACCAACATGTCAAAACAACATATTTATTTATATTTCATAGCAAACATGCTAAAAATGTTTAAACAGAGTTGATGAAATAATGGTTATTTTTGCAACTAAATGAGTGAACCAGAAATAATGAGAATAAAATGTCTGAGCGCCATCTGAAGCGTGCGTGCCCCCTGGCTACCCAGAGGAGGAGACTAGAAATCCAAGCCTGTAGGGCTTCCTCGCATCCAACAATGTCAAAGGTCAGGAACAGAGCAGCAGCCCCTGCAGCCAGTCGGGATTCAGTTTCTGGGTGTCAGCACTGGCTTTTAAAGGGGGTTTAAAACCGTTCAAACAATTACTTTGGGTCAGTTTCTCACAAAAAAAGAATATTCAAATGATATTATCTGATTCAATGTCAACATGCAGAAATGAGTTTTCTTATTTGCAAAAGCCAAGAAAACCGTGGAACCTCACAGGAGCCGGCGTTGGAGGCGTTTTGTTCCCCGATCCATCGCCGCCATCTCTTGTTTAAAGTAGAACGTGTTCTGGCAAAGTGAAATTCAGTGTTGAGAGGATGTCATGCAATGCCAAGTATTTTTTTTTATTTTTTATATTTTTATCCTACCTCACCAGTCGCTTGTCGCTTGATATTTTAAAGACTGCTTGTAAACTTCAGCTGTGCGACAGGCGCCCTCGGGCGACGTCACAGCGACGCGGAGGGTTCCCACCTGGTGCCTGATCCGGTGTCGGGGTTCAGGGGCCGCCGACACGTTCACATCACAGATTGAAAACCGACAGATACTACTAGATAAAGACATAAAAGCTGCATGTGTGCCGTACACATTGAGATCTAATTGTGATTTATGTACAGGAGTTTGAATTAATCTGGCGCAAAAAAAAACAAGAATATTCTCTTTGATCTCAGCATGGGGGGGGGGAATCATTGCACGTGGTACAAATCTGCTCTCATCCCACAGTTTATGCATCTATGGCTCTAACACATGCTGCTGTGCAAAGAGGAGTACCCTGACATGACAAATGTTTGTGTTTGTGCGTTTGTGTGTTTCCGTGCCAGCCACCGACGGCGAGGAGTTTGTGAGCGTTCTCACTGAGCTGCTGTTTGAGCTTCACCTTGCCGCGACGCCGGACAAACTCAACAAGGTGAGTCACATAAAAAAAACAAAAGAATCCTAAAAGCAGCAGGGAAACTCTGAGGTTTCTTCACCAGCAGCACAGACATGTTTTAAACATTTCCCCCAAAGGATTGGTTCAGGGTTTTGATTTTCACATTCTCATGTGCACATCTAAAGATTTATTGGTCGCTGGTAATCGTTCCTTTTCTGCACACGAACCATGAAGTCAGTCCCTTCATAGTGTGACTCAGCAGTTTGATGAGACAAATCAAGTGTGGAGTTTTCTTCTAAACAAACAAACAAAAACAAAAAAAAACTTGTGTTACATGAAGCATTAATGAACATAATTCTTCAGTTCACCTCTCTATCCTCGACCAAATGGAACAATAGTGCAGAGTGAGATCTGGCATTATTGTCCTGAATTCAGATTACCTGTTAAACCTCCATGATTTTATGTACTCACAGATTGTAATCATGCTCCCCATATGGATTAGAATTTGGTTGGTTTATTCTTTTTCATAGCTTAGTCCTTTCTTTATTTAAATAGCAGGAAAGCAATAACATATTATTTGCCGAGGGAGTTCGCGTCCGCCATTGTTGTGGCTGTGTACGTCCTGCCATCAGCTGACGCAGAGAAAGCAGTGGACACCATCCACTCCACTGTGTCTGGACTGCTGAGTCAACATCCTGGTGCGTTTTTGGCTATTACTGGAGACTTCAACCACACCACTCTGGATAGAGCCCTGCCAACTTTCCACCAGTATGTTGACTGCCCCACAAGGAACAATAAAACTCTGGACCTACTGTATGCTAATGCTAAGGATGCATACAGTGCTACTGCCCTACCCCCGCTTGGCAGATCACAACTTGATCCTGTTGACACCCAGGTATGTTCCTCTGGTGCAGAGGCTGCCTGTGACCACCAGGTCTGTGAGGAGGTGGTCTCAGGAGGCTATTGACGCCCTGCAGGACTGCTTTGAGTCTACGGATTGGGATGTGCTTTGTGGACCACATGGGGAGGACCTCAACAGCATGACGGACTGTATCATCCCGGTCAGTACACTGCTTCCCCAACAATAAACCTTGGATCACCAGTGACCTGAAAGCTCTTCTTAACAAGAAGAAAGCAGCTTTCAGGTCTGGGGACAAGGAGGAGATCAGGACAGTCCAGCGTGACCTGAAGATAAAGCTCAGGGAGTGCAAGGACACCTACAGGAGGAAGCTGGAGGCCAAACTCCAGCAGAACAATGTGAAGGAGGTGTGGACAGGGATGAAGCAGATCACCGGCTTCAAGGTTGGAGGCAGACAACCAGGGGGCTCCCTGGAGAGGGCCAACGAGCTAAACTCTTTCTTCAATAGGTTTAGCTCAGAGCCCTCAGCCCTCATCTGTCTCCTCCACACACCACACCTCCCAAACACCTCCCCCTCTGTCCCCGCTGGTGAGCTGCATGGACTCGGAGTCCTCCACTTCAAAGGGCTCTGCCACCACCGACATAATGACCCCCCCCCCCCCCCCTCTCTCTGTGACGACTGGCCAGGTGAGAAGACAGCTGGAGAGACTCAACCAAGGCAAGGCTGCGGGACCTGATGGCATCAGCCCCAGGGTCCTGAAGACCTGCGCCATCCAGCTGTCTGATGTTCTGCAACATCTCTTCAACCTGAGCCTGAAGCAGGAGGAAGTCCCGGTGCTGTGGAAGACGTCGTGCCTGGTTCCTGTACCTAAGAAGATGACACCATCTGGCCTCAATGACTACCGACCAGTTGCCCTCACATCACATGTGATGAAGGTGCTGGAGAGGCTGGTCTTGGCCCACCTCCGGCCGCAGGTGAAATCCTCACTGGACCCTCTGCAATTTGCATACCATCCGCATGTGGGGGTGGACGACGCCATCATCTACCTGCTGCAACGAGCTCAGTCGCACCTGGACGGATCCGGTTGCTCTGTGAGAATCACTTTCTTTGATTTCTCCAGTGCATTCAACACCATCCAACCAGTGCTGCTGAGTGAGAGGCTGCGGGTGGTGGGGGTTAACGCGTCCACCGTCTCCTGGATCACTGACTACCTCACGGGCAGACCACAGTTTGTCCGACTGGGCAGTGTGCTGTCTGATGGGGTGGTCGGTGATATTGGAGCCCCGCAGGGAACTGTTCTGTCTCCCTTCCTGTTCACCTTGTACACCACTGACTTCCAGTACAACTCTGTGTCATGCCACCTGCAGAAGTTCTCTGATGACTCTGCAGTGGTCGGGTGTATAAGGGACGGACGGGAGGAGGAGTACAGGGCAGTAGTGGTTGACTTTGTGGAGTGGGCCGGTAGAAATCACCTGCGTCTGAACGTGGCCAAGACCAGAGAGATGGTGGTCGACTTCAGGGGGAAGACGACGGCTCCACAACCGCTGAGAGTTCTGGGAGAGGATGTGGACATGGTAGAGGAGTACAAGTACCTGGGTGTCTCCATCGACAGCAGACTGAACTGGAAGACCAACATCAACGCTGTGTACAAGAAGGGGATGAGACGACTCTATTTCTTGAGGAAACTTCGATCCTTCAACGTGTGCAGCAAGATGTTGGAGATGTTCTACCGGTCTGTTGTGGCCAGTGCACTGTACTTCGCCGTAGTCTGCTGGGGGAGCAGCATTGGAGCCGGAGACACCAACAGACTTAACAAACTGGTTAAGAAGGCCGGCTCCATCATTGGCTGTAAACAAGACAATCTGGAAGAGGTGGTGGAGAGGAGGACACTGAAGAAACTATTGTCCATATTGGATAACCCGGACCACCCTCTCCACCACCTACTGCAGGGACAGAGGAGCACTTTCTCCAACAGACTAATCCAGCTCCGCTGTCACAAGGACAGATTCAGAAAAACATTCCTGCCCACTGCAATAAGACTTTATAATAAAACACCTCGGGCCAGATCATCGTCCTTCACATGACTACAACAACGCTACACAGTTGTTGCTTGTTGATGGTGATCCTTGCTCTACTGTCCAGGTTGTTTAGTTACTAGTTAATACCACTCTATTCATGGTACATACTGTGCATTTCTATTTTTTATTCTATTTATTGTATTTTTTTTTAATCTATTCCTTCAAATTCAATATCTGCTTTGTTATTTTATTGTACTGTATATATTGTGCATTCCATAAGTTATATTTTACTCTGTAAATTGCTGCTGCTACAAACTAATTTACAAACTAATTTCCCCCTGGGGATAAATAAAGTTTATATCTATCTATCTATCATCTAACCCTCATAATGAGCTTAATTCTCACCTTAACTTGAAATCACTCTAAACAAATCCCCTTCAGGAGGAATATTCCTCAGTTTTCTCCCGTTATTAGATGTTTGGTCCACACACACAGCCATTTTTAACATCCCCTCTCTCCTGCTGCAGTCTTAGACATAATATAAAAGTTCTCACCTTTTGAAGTCCTTCTGCATATTCAAATTCCCACATATAGAACCCATATTAGCATATAATCGTGGTTACGCATCTGATTAGCATACATCAGAACGGCGATCCCTCACCACGCCGAGCTGATGGGTGGTAATTATGCATCTCCAGGCTCGGATGAGGGCCCATGATTGGGTGAGCGAGGTGGAACAGCCTGTCACTACGGAGACGGTTCACGGGGACATGCAGGACCAGCCGGCAGGAGAGGCCTCACCTGGAGAGAAGGAAAAGGAGGAGATGAAGAAGAAGAAGGATGGGGAGGAGCAGCAGGGGGAAGAAGGGAAGGGAGGAGAGGAGGACGAGAAGAAGAAGGAGGAAGAGAACGGCCCCAGATCTGTAGAGGTGAGTTAGTCTCAGCTGTGTGATGTGGCTAAAATAAGCACTTTTAAAATTATTTTTCTATTCTTTCAATACTGCTGTCCCAGACTTATCGAATTTGATACAGGGATTATGTGTGTGTGTGTGTGTGTGTGTGTGTGTGTGTGTGTGTGTGTGTTCTAGGCTGTCTACCTGTCATCAATAGGCAGTCTGGCAGAAGTGACCGCTCGCAGCATCGAGCAGCTCCACAAGGTGGCAGAGCTCATCCTCCACGGCCAGGACCTGGAGAAACCAGCCAGAGACCAGGCTCACATCCTCACTAGGTGTGTGTGAGAGACAGAGAGAGAGACAGAGAGACAGAGAGAGAGACTTGCTAAAATGTACATCTCTATTCCAGGTTGACATGTGCCATGTGTAAGGAGGTGGAGTGTTTGGCCAAGAAGTTCTCCGACACACTGCTTCTCGTTGGGGTAGGTGGGAGGGAGGGAGTGTGTGTGCGTGTTTGTGTGTGTGTGTGTGTGTGAGATAAAGGATAAGGCTGGTGGTTATTCTATTTTTTTTCACAAAAATATATAAAAATAATATTTGATTCCAAAAACTCTTCAAAACATAATTCCACACGTTTTCACGGAGTGGCATTTTCCCTCATTCAGCGTCGGCATACTCTTCCATGGTAATGAGGGAAAATGCCACTCATAGTTTTTTTTTCCTCGAATTTGTTGCCACTGAGGAAAATCTAAACTATTGCCAGCCTCATCTCATAAATGTTTGTCTTTGTAGTTTTTTTGCTCACTGTACTACTTCCTGTCCCTCATCTCTCTCTCCTTCCCTCTCTAACAGGGCCAGAGGAAAGCAGAGGAGTTGAATCCGCTGGTAGACAATGTGCTGTTAGAGGTGAGACACACTGACTTGTCCTCAGATGTTCTTGATTTTAATCAAGTGAAGATGAATGAAATTAAGGGCGCGGCAGTGTGATGGCTGCTAGGACCGCGTTACTAATCATCATCATCATCTAATGTGATAATTCCTGTTTAATTTGTTAACGGGAATAAGGTGAGACCGTCACAAGATGATACGTTTATACATTAAGAAACTGTGCTTGACAAGGTGTTCAATATATTCAGGATGCTCAGAGTAAATTCTGAAGTTATGTCGGCCTCAGATAAATATCCTCCACTACCATCAATTACAGTATACCTCAATTTCTTTCTGTATATTTTAAATACACCTTTAAAATAATCCCTTCACCTGTTCTCAAAAAAGTTAAATCATTTTATGTCCGTATAGGAAATGATGGTAATAAAAATAATATGTTTATTTAAATTGCACCTTTAAAAAAAAAATATATATATATATATATATATAAATAAATAAATATTTTACAAAGTGTTTTCAAAGTAAAGCAGAAGCAAATCAGAAAACCAGACAGTGAGGCTAAACTAAAGCAAGATAAATAAATAAAGTAAAATAGACTCACAGATAAAACACAACAACAGATGTAACAAATAAATACAAATGAAAGGAAAATGCAATAAACGCAGTAGAAACATCGAAAAGAATAAAAGCAGTAAAATGATGATGATGATGTTCATGATGATGTTCATGATGCTCATGGCTCTCCTGTCTGCAGGGCTCTAACAGTACCAACTACATCGAGAATGCACTGCAGCTGCTGCTGCCCGTCCTGCAGATCTCCCACATCCAGAGCCAGCACTGTCGCTCCACCACAGAACCAGCAGCACAGACGCAGCAATAACGCACACACACAGACGCGCACACACACGCACACTACCTGCTCACCCGCTTGTCTTAATGTATTGTTGTACAGAAAAGTATGGAGAACAGATTATTCCAGATGAAGTGCTTAAATCTACATCCAGTGCCATAGCGACAGGCAGAATATGTTTTCTATATATAAATATATATATACTTAATATAATCTTTAAGATTTAACAACTGGATGCATGTAGAAATGACCGACATGCAGGTTGTATGTATGACTCCTCCACGGTGTATCTCTGATTGTTATTTTGCTTCGTGACTCATTCTGTCCAACAAAACAAAGATGTTTCTGCATTGTGTCCCAAAGCTGAACCAAAAGTGACTGTCTGTGTTGAAGGCCCTCTACATTAATGTATATTGAGCTTTCTTTGCACTCCTTATGGTCCTCTGTTTTTGTTTTTTTTAACACTAGTGAAATGTGTTGTTTAGCTGAAACACTTTAATCTGGTTTGAGACAAAATGCCAGTGTGATTATACACTACAATTTGTGCTTCTTTTTTATGTTAAATTATGTAAAGACACACTACCATTTATTTCAGTCTCTGGTTTCATTTGTCAGAAAAATACGATCTTCAATTTTTTTTTTATGGCAAAATATTACCTTGTTATATTGTTTACATTGAAGATGTAATATATGTTAATTCATCTCTAATTATGTTTTGTTGTGCTGCTACATTTAACAAGTATACAGTAGTTCAACATTTTTGGGAAATTTTCCTTGTTCGCTTTTTTGCCGAGAGTTATTGGAGAAGACCACGTTCATATCGAACTCTTGGCAAGAAGGAAAATGTATTCCTCAGAATGTTGAACTATGTCTTTGATAACAAAATGGCATGTCATGCCCGTTGTTAGATCCTAATCCCAACACCTTGAAGAAGGCTTGAGCCGAAACATTTTATTTCCTCTTGCCCTCCTGAATAAAGGCTTGTAATACTGTTTTTGATAGATTTACCCTCTTCTTGCTCCCCAGAGGTATGTTATCTTATTCATTTTCCACATTACTATTTTCTCCCTTTTCTTCGATCACATGTTGAGTCTCGGCAGCAATCCCAAGGTGCTCACAGCACATCTGTGATTTCATATCCAGTGTTAAATTGGCTCTTGGCTTCCAACCAGCAGGTCTTTCTTCCCCGGCCTCCTCCTCCTTCCCTTTTAGAGATACTGTACATTGATGCGGGCAAGAAAGATATTAAGCAAAAAAAATAGTTGTCTCTCTGCCGTAATGTTTCGGCTCCTTTCAGCTAAATCCAGATGGGGTAAGGCCTTTGAATATAAAATCGTTCCTAATGATAAATATTTGGGAGGTAAGTCAGTTATTTAGGTGTGGACAGTTTAGTAATATATTAAGAAGCCCCTCTAATAAAGTGCCCAAAGACTGTCTGAGGATGACGAGTTGTAACTGAAGCAGTCATTTTTATTTTCATCCAGTGCACTTTTAAGTCCATTTGTGTGCTCCTCTGTCAGCAGGTCTGCTCCTCTGTGAGGGAGGAGGTGGAGGGATGGATGCGATGATGCAGATTTGCTAAAGATGGACGAGATAGAAAAAAAAAATAAAAATGATCAGACTGGAGTTAGATGACAGTGAGAAGAGTGGGTGGGGGGGATCTTAACTGTCTGCATGAGGCTCATTTGATGTACAATAGATTAACTCAGGTATATTAACACTGACTATTAAGTATAAATAACAGTAAATCTAGGACCAGATACAGGTCCTTCAAGTCAAAGCGGAAGTGCTCCTCTGGTTGCAAAAAGAAGTCCCTACTTCTCTCTTGATTTATTACCTCAGTAAACATGAGTTCATGGTCTCAATGTCTAGTTTCAAGTCTTCTTCAATACAGTATGATGTTCATTTAGTAAATTATGGTCCATTTAGAGTCAGATAGACCATAAAGTGGGTTATGCTTTAGGGCGGGGCTGCCTTGTGATTGACAGGTCGCTGCCACAGCGTTGTCATTCCACGTCTCGTGTCACATCTGGTTGCAAAAAGCCAAGATGGCGAAGGCCGATATGCCAAACTTGAGGCTTGAAAACGGTAGTCCACAGGATGTAGAAATGGAATTTACTATTGGTTTGGAGGGCTTTGTGGTGCAGCACTGTTCCACTAGTCATGTAACGCAGTAATGTTTACTACATTTTAACTGACGTACTTATTTTCCAAGTACAAGTATCACTACTTTTACTTAAATATTCTAGTGCTCACTCCACCATTCTGAAATGAGCCAGTCTATATAATAAGTACTTTGGTAGGCCTATGATGCAAATGCAGTCTTACCTGTATAGCAGTGGTCAACATTTCCATCCAGCAGAGTTTCTATGTCATCTGAAAAAGGCATTTGAAGAATGTTAACACACAAAGTCACTAATTGGTCTGAATTTGTTTAAGTGTGTGTGTTCAGAAATTCTTACCTTGAGTGTCAACTTCTTGAATGGGAGACAGTCCTGTGCATTAAAATATAAAGTTGTCAAAGGACTGACAAAACGGACTATTCAAATGATTAAACTGTGTGTATGCATTTAAGAACTGACCTGGCCGAGGTCGGGATCCATAAGAGTGAAGGATCATCCCTGTGGTCAATAAGAGGCCGTTAGTATTAAATCTGTAGAGGGAAGACCTTTTGTAGCATTGCTATTTATTTCACCATAATCTTTTACCTTTGGGAAGAATGATCTCTGTGGGCTTCTCACCATCTAGTTGAAGATCATTATAACATTACAGTATATCAGGCATATTATAAGACATGTTTGTTATTACTCATTTCATAAAGAGGCATTCTGATCTCACCTTTGTAAACACTTGATTGCCTCATATTGTATCCTAAGGCACAACTATTTGAAAGTATTTTGAATTGAATTAATAAATATTCAAATTTACCGCTCAACTGCTGGCCAGTGACAACGTAACCAAGACGGTGCATGCTGGGCTTTTCTGACAAAAATATAAAAAAATAGAATTATTTTCAGGTCAACTTCAACAGCTCAAACTAACCCTGTGTGTGTGTGTGTGTGTGTGTGTGTGTGTGTGTGTGTGTGTGTGT